CCGCTCACTGGATGTTTTTTCTTTTTCGGACCATTCTCTGTAAACCCTAGAGATGGTTGTGCGTGAAAATCCCAGTAGATTAGCAGTTTCTGAAATACTTAGACCAGCCCTTCTGGCACCAACAATCATGCCACGTTCAAAGTCACTCAAATCAACTTTCTTCCCCATACTGATGCTCGGTTTGAACTGCAGGAGATTGTCTTGACCATGTCTACATGCCTAAATGCACTGAGTTGCCGCCATGTGATTGGCTGCTTAGAAATTAAGTGTTAACGAGCAGTTGGACAGGTGTACCTAATAAAGTGGCCGGTGAGTGTATATTTATTATTAACGACTATTAAAAATTCAACATTTTTCTCCGAAATGTTTTTTTTTTTTTTTTTTATTATTGCTCAAATATGGACACAGAAAAAGCATTTTGTTGCATTTTGCAGAATAAATATTGCACCCAGGGTGATACTTCAAAATAATTGAGTGTTTACATATTATGAATAGAGACGTGAAATGTGGTCAAGTCCTGTCTCCTCTTTTAAAAACTCAGCATCGCAAATTAATCAGAATCGGGCAGTGATTGACAGCGCTCTGGTCGAATGGCATCGGGCATTGTCTGATACAGTACTTGTGGCGCTTATATACTGTACAGTACTCTAGCCCAATGTTGTTTGGGGTGGCAGGGGGGAAATATGATCTAATCGAAGACTGTAATGTAACCGTATGTAACGTTAGATAAACAAGTCATGTAACTTAATGATCGGGCTAACTTACCAATTAAATCAAGACGACACTGCTGTATAATGTTATGGGCTCTCACTGAGCTCTAATATGCCTCTCCACCTGAAAAAGCAAGTACTGTATTATAAATAGTATTAGTTTAATCAAAGCCCGTCTACGGAAAGCCTGGCCACTCCCTATTAAGTCCTATTGTACCGACTTTTTGGTTGTAGTTCCACCAGAGTTCCACTGGGGGGCAATAGTCCGAGTGCAAAATGAATGGGAGTCTATGAGGCTAAACGGCTAAATTTGTATTTTTCACCCGATTGTCATTGAGAAATCTTAGATTTGAATGTAGGTTTTGCAAGTCCAACGTGGGTTATAGGTCGAAAGTTGAATGAACGAGTGCTTATGTCCTTTCGATTTCTTACAGGTTGAGTTGTTGTTGCCCATAACACGCTAGCATTCTGCTAATGGACGCTGATTGGTCAGTGAAGGACTGATTACGACCAGAGATACCGCTTGATGGCATCGTGGCATCCGAAGCGGGACCACACATGTATTTACCTGTGTCAGTTGTGTAGTAGATGCCTCGAGAGAAAAGAAAGTGCAGAACGCAAAAGCATAGACATAATAAATACATAGACGCCCTATTGGCCGCTTTGGAGCGTTGCTGCGATAGTTTTCTTATTGTGGAAAAAGCATTTTCTGTGATTGACCCGATTTTAGCAATAACAAAGATAACTGATGGATCCTTTATCTATGGTAATACGATATGGTACAACTACAGTGCAGTGCAAATAGTAAATATAAGATAAAGTGAGAAGTAATAGTAAATAGTTTAGTCAATAAAATAAACAAACAAACAGTACAGCAAATAAAATAGTAATGAAAAGGCTATATAAAATATAGGCTATATAAAATAAAATGACACAACCCTGTCTATTTTTCAGTTTTATTGATCAGTAAGAGACATTATAACAGTATAAGTAGCCTAAAAGGTATAAGAAGAGTTATACAAGACAATAAATAAAGTAAACGATTCAGACACAGCAGGATACAACGTTAAAATAGCCACAATATAAAGTTATGAAACTTCACTTTGCCGTCAGCCAAAACGATTTGCCAGGGAACAATATTAATGAGACCAAAGATCGCCCGTTAGATATACACAAGACGAATTATATGTCATGTTTAACCACAAACGTCAGAAGCACTAACCGAGTAAAGGCTGTTCCAGGCGGGGTGCAGAGCGCTGAGACCCCGGTAAAGGATATCACAACTCCGAAAACGTCAGATCAAATTTTTAAATAAGCGCTATCTTTATAAATAAACCACATATTTGAGCTTTCAACAACTACATTGTCGACTGAAAAACTATTAAAACTACATTTCGTGACACAATAACAGTAGTATTTTTAAATTTCGCGGCTTCTCTCGTCTGTCTATGTGCGTAAGCACCAAAGTGACTGAAGGATTGCCGTAAAGCAGGTCTCTGGTCGTACGATGTGTATGACGTCATTGACATTTTAAAAGACTTTTTAAAGCAAATAAGTGACTCTAAAAAATCTAACACCCAGCAATGTGTAATTTCTTTGCATCTTCTTTCGAATACAACATTCGAATTACTAGACAAAAAATTATATCCTGAGAAAAGTGGTTTTTTAGGGGTATTGCTCCATAGACCTCCATTCATTCTGCACTCCGCCTGTGAGCGCCCTCATATGGACCTAGAGTGGAACTGCAACAGTTCAGAACCCGGAAGTTTAATGTGAGTGGGAGTTCTCCCCATATTAGACATTATCTGGTTTAATATTAATTAATAAAAAATAAAAATCTGACTTACCATGAGTAGGCTATCCAGTATTCTGATATCAACGATGACAAATTATATAATTTGTCTGTACTATTCCTTCTATAAGAAATCATCTCAACAATATAGTGTAGCAGTAAATTAATACAGATATAAACTTAATATCACCTAAATGAAATAGAAAGCTGCGCTTACAGACGCTCACATCCACACATGTAAACACAACACTGACGTCTTCACTTCCAGGTCAAGAAGCTGTCAATCAAAAACTCAGTAGCCAATGAGAACACACTGCTACTAGCCCCGCCCCCACGAGAGAATTGTGTCAGAACAGCGAACGAAAACTCTGGAAGCGCATTTGTAAGTTTAGATCAGTAAAAGAAATGAGGAATAGTTAGCAAAACATGCAGTGTATTAAAAACAAAGTAAAAAAAATTGCCTGCGATTCATTCTTTTTCAGTTTCAAAGATATTTTATTCAGTTTCAATTTATATTTTTATTGATTTCTTGAAAAGTTACGTTCATTTTTATCGCACAAAAATAATTCCATAATTTCACAGGAATCATGCAGGACAATTTATTGCTGGAATGATGAAATTCCTCCAGTTCTTGACCAACAAGGGTTGAATGGGTTGCTGGTCTGGATCAGATTAATGCGTTTACAGTTGACTAATGTTTGAAGCCACACGGTTTTGGACAATCGTTTCAAGCGCAACTGCACAATTTTCAGATCCCAGTGAAAAGGGATATGGCTCTGTGTCCTAAACTAGATTACGGAATAGTCACAGCTCATGTCACCTTTCTTCTTGGCAAAGCCAGATAGCCACCTAACTTCAGCTTAATTTGAAGGAATTGTGTTTTTGGACTGTTTTGAATTTGTGTGGCACCCTATTGTACAACTGACTACGCCACCCCTTGGGCTAAACTAGTTAGTGCCAGTGTTAGAGCAAGGGGAACTCTACCCCAATAAAATGTACAAACACAGGTTCTTAGAAAAGTATAAAAATACAATATTTATTGAGGAATTATTGAAGATGTTGGTTGGTCAAAATAAATAAAACAAATAAACATAGCTAAGGAATACCAAGCCATCCGCAAGGGAGCCAGTAAAGCAATCGAGAAAACACTAAGGGAAGGCTAGGTTCGCACTACCACCGGTGAACAAAACAGACTTCTTTTGAAGTAATACACACTAGAGTTCAAGGTCTACGCACTGCACACTCACAGCACTCTAATAAATATAGTTAAAAGGCATTGAGGTTCACCATACACGGCACTGCAAACTTCGTTTAACAAGAGAAAAAAAGAAACAAAAAGAAGAAAAAGGAAACCCGCTTTCCAGTGAGGTCTCTTATACAGGAGTTACCCTGGCTCCACTAACACCGGGGCTGGTTACAAACAAAAAGGGGAATTGGGCATAAATGAAACAATAAAATAAATAAACCCGCTCTAGCCTGTGACGCACAATTCATACAACCACATACAATAACAGCTACAGCCAACAGGCTAGAGGAAAACAAACAACCAACAAAAGAGAAAAAAAAAAAAAAAGAAATAATAACATAAACTAGGCCTATAATATAAGCAGCATACACAATCACACGGTATGGAGAACAGCAGCTAACAGCTCAAGGGTAACTGCACAGATCTGAAAACACAATAACCACATCATTAAGAATATTTGTTTGATCATGCTTCAGTCAATACAAATCACGTTTTTAGATGCAGTCACATCTTCCAGGATAAAATGGCCATATAAAGAAAAGGTGGTCAATATCAAGATGTACGTCTTTGGATACAAACAAAATACACACGTAGTTAGAACAGCAAGGGAAAATAAATACAGGCGGATCGAACTTAATTCAAGACATACCTGTCGTAACATTCACAGTGAAAAGGGGAAGACTAGTTGAATGTAAACATCCCACTGCAGTCAGTCTCCCGCCGATGCTTATTAAACGCGGACGTAGTAGTTTGGCATTACTTTGCTCGCTCGCCCATACATGGTCAGACAGGAAGACAATGGCGCGCCGCGGCTCAATCAGTGTCGGCTCCTTCACGCACTATTAAAACAAACACTCACTTGGCAATCTAACCCACAGTGAAAAACGACAGAGAAGAAAAAAACGCTTTTAAACATACCTCAACACTCAAACTGCATCTGAATCGCTGATTCACCACACCAAAGCCAGCAGTACATTTACACTGTCCCAGTCTAAGGACGCCAGGTGTTTATATAGAAGCCTGCCTCAATCGCGTTTGATGGCTTACTAAATGCCCGCTCCACCCACCAATTAGTGACGTGATTAAACATGAAAATGAAAGAGTCAGAACGAGCGTAAACTGAAGGAACCCAATCCTAACCAGGCCCACAGGCTACATTTGTAAACACCTTAAATATAACTACCTATTGTTTTATTTATGTTTAGTTATTGTTGAAGTCCACTTCCCCATATTTCTCTTTCTGACAGACGGACATGAGGTCTCTGCTGACACTGTCAGGTAAAAACACGAGTTTATGCATCTTATTGTCTGATTCTGTGTAATGGCTTTCTGATTCTGTTGATATTTGCTACATTCATGTTGAAGGTTAATTCAAACCAACCAGTTCAATATTCACAGAAGAGGCAAATGATTTAATAAGCTTTGTTTGTCTGGTTAATTGACATTAAATGATGATAAATGTTGAAAAAAACTTTCCAAAGAAATTATCCAGTTTTATTGCAGATTTCACAGAAAATTATATTACTAATATGATCATTTTGTTACACAGATTTGCATTTCACTGCCAATTTTTTACAACAATAATTTAAAAAGATTTATTTTCAAATAGTTGTTGTATTTGTAGCCAATATTTTAAATGTAATGTAATATAATAAAACTGACTGGGTGCGGCCGTCTCATTTCAATGTCAATGAAGCTGCAAATTAAAATTAAAGATGTAGTTTCTTAGTGCAGAAATAATCTGATTTATCTTTTTATGTCACAGTGCTGTTGGCTCTCATAAGAGAGGACAAGGGAGAAAAACCAGCAGGTAAATACACACATTTTCATTGTGCACAAGATCAGATGAACTGAAATGGTATATGTGGTAAAGATCGGTGCCTAAAGATGATCAGATCAGCCTGATCCATAAAACAACAAAACATCATTATATCAAATCTATTATAAGCAAAAACAAATCCAGATCTGCAGTTCTTTAATGCAGAGGACCTCATCATTAGGGTTCCATTTGGGACAGGGCCATGGACTGCGTGTTTCCGGGGGCGGGTTTATGTACATTTTAGGGTTAGTGATGTCACTAACCCGGGAGGAAGCTCGTGTAGTCCCTACCAGCCGTTTGTTGTAGTCCTTAAAAAACGATTTCTTTAAAAGCAAATATCTCCCTTTGCTTTGAACTTTGAGCGTTGCAACTTTGCAGATGTTATTTATGCTCAAACAGCAACATTACACACTAACTAAAGTTAGTAAAGTGAAATCATAATCAACCTCCCCTTTAAACAACCATGTATGAAGACACATCATGTTCATATTCCAGGATGACAATGTCCAGATTCATCAGGCTCAGGTTGTGAAAGAATGGTTGTGAGGAGCTTGAAGAATAATTTTCACACATGAATTGGCACCTCTGAGTCCAGACCAAAAATTGATTCACATCTCGATTGAAAAAAAAGTTGTAGTGTTATTTCTATTAAGAGGTCATCAAGATCTTGTGTTGTCAATGCAAGAGTCCAGCACTCTGTAAAGTCTCCTCCAGCACATCCCAAAGACTTTCAATGAATTTAAGCTCTGGACTCATGTGTGAAAATGATTCTTCAAGCTCCTGACAACCATTCTTTCACAATCTGAGCCTGATGAATCTGGATATTGTCATCCTGGAATATGAACATGATGTTCTTCCTACATGGTTGTTTCAGAAATGAAAAGCTACACACTCCTTCAGTTAGAGTTAGAAGAACTGTTGCCAAACATATAACATGTTAGAAACATAATAATCACTGCAATAATGATCCAATCATAGACTCTTAAGCATTTGCCTATTTAAATCCAAACAGTGACTTTTTTTTGATGGGCAGTGTGTTTTACAATAGTAGTCAGACAACCTGGCGTTACAGAAGACGTGTCTCTTATGTGTCTGTTTTCTTCTCTCAGTGTCTCTCCTGCCGAGGTTCCCAGATGTGTTTGTAGGAGATGACATCACTCTGATCTGTAAACGAGGGAATGGAACGATAAAATGGTTCATTAATGGAAAGCCAAAATCACATCAGGATTCTCCAATGCTTCTTACAGCAGTGACATCTAAAGACAACGGGGAGTACCAATGTGAGCGGGGCGGATCGAAGAGCGATCCGTATATACTCACTGTCGAAGGTATGAACACCATCCTAAATAACTCTGAACTTTCCCTCACGATCATCAGTTCCTCATTCTCTCTCTCTCTCTCTCTCAGAGCTGGAGCCTCACGCTCAGCTCTCTCCATCTATAGGTGGCGCTGTGATGACCAAAGGTGATGGAAGAAACCTGGTGCTGCAGGTGGACGATGATCCGAATGGCTGGAAGTGTTTTGTGTGGCGGGGAGAGAGCGGCTTCACACTAGGAACCTCTGCTGATAAGATGAAGAACAGGGCTGTTATAATTGCAGAATTGAACGAAGCAAAAAGAGCCACTTTCTGGTGCAAGAACGGTAGACAACGAAGCAATGCAGTGACGCTGAAAATGACAGGTGACTCCTTCCTCCTTTCCCTGTTTATTTCCTGTTTCCTGTTTCGTTAAAGGGAAATACAAAAATACTAATTCTGTCATTATTTACTCGCTTTCATGTAGTTCCAAGATTTGTAGATTATCTGTGTCCATGCAATTAAATTCAATGGAGTCCAAAACAACACTGGATCCCACTCACTTTCCTAGAATTTTTTTTCTGACCACAAGTTGCCAGCTAGTTCCCATCAGTCTTACATGCTCTTGAACATGTTAAGCAAGTGATGTTAGAGTATATTGAAATTTCACAATAATTAAATCTGCATGTAATAGTCAAGTAATAAACCATGTTTTCTGGTTTACTAAGGATTTCTGACTCCTTGAATCAGGTCCTCCTAAAAAATTACAAACAATATCCTCTAAATCTCAATGGCTTCCATAAAGAGCCATGAGACTAAACTGGAGAGCAAATAGAAACTGATTCTCAGATGTGGAGAAAGAGACACCTCACATCTGTCACCTCTATAGTTGCAGGGCGAATCTCATCAATAGCTCAAACTGTGCTCAGACTTGCCAAAACATCAAAGTCTATAAAAGTCAGATCTCAATATAAAGTCTCTTCTCCAAGATCAGGGTTTATAGCTCTATACTCCTACTGTATGGCAACTATTTACTCATTTGCATCACAAAGACAAAGTTGATCAATATATTCAATTTCAAAAATTCCAATATACTTTTTTTTCCAGTGCTGACATTTCCTGTTGAATCCCTTTTTCTTAAACAGCCAATAGCCTGTAGTTTATGTCAGTAACACCATACTTTGAATGAAGCATCAGGTTCTTGCAGCGGTAGATGATGGATGTCTGACCTGTGTGTCTGTGTGTGTCAGAGCTCAAGGTGATGTTGGACCCTCCAGCCGTTCCTGCACTGCTGGGGGAGAGTGTGGCTCTCAGGTGTGCGGTCTGGGGTGGGAAAGCGGACAGAGCTGTATTCTATAAGGATAATAAGCAAATCGCAACCACAACAGAAGACACATACATCATCACCAACGCCACACAAGATCATGCCGGACAGTACAGCTGTCACGCCACCTACAGGTACAGCCACATCAGTGCAGAAGCTGTCCAGCAGGAAGGAGATTCTGATGCGCAGGAGTTAAAAGTTATAGGTAAACATTACAATATTACAATCACTGCCTCACCTCATCCCTTCATTTATACACGACAACCACTACTAGTACTTGTAAGTATTTTTTAGACATGTTACCATGGCATTCCTTAATACTGTATATGTAAGAGTACCATGTGGTACTATACAATAATAATAATAATAATAAAAAAGAAGGATTAAATGAATAATAATAACAATAATACTGATATAAATAAATAACAATATTATTTAAGCAATATTTATATATAATTATACTTAACACTAAATAAGTTTGCAGTACAAATAAGATATGTATGAATATATCAGTTATATATATATAACATTACTAGTAATAATAATTGTAATGACAAAAGCAGTAGCCTATAGTCTGATTCATGAACAAATGACTCTTATGTGTCAATTCTTTTAGTGAATCAGTCAGGGTTGCACGTTAGAATTAGTCTAATGAATTACTCACTGAATCTGTCAGAGCGGTTACATTTATACATTTGTCAGATGCTTTTATCCTTATCAGGATACGCATTCACTGGGAATTTAAACCATGACCTTAGCTAACGTTAAGTTTGAATGAAGTTAAACACATCACTTTTAGTGAATTACAGACCTGTCTCTCTCCTACCATTCATTGCGAAAACACTTGAACGAGTTGCTTTCAACCAAGTATCATCTTTCCTGTCTCTGAACAACCAGCTGGATGTCAACCAATCTGGCTTCAAGAAAGGGCATTCAACCGAGACTGCATTGCTGTCGGTCACCGAAGCCCTGCGGATCGCAAAAGCTGCTTCCCAATCATCAGTTCTCATCCTCCTGGATCTGTCTGCTGCCTTCGACACTGTGAACCATCAGATCCTTCTGTCCACCCTCTCATCACTGGGCATCACAGGTACTCCTCTCCACTGGTTTGAGTCCTATCTCACAGGTAGGTCCTTCAGGGTCACATGGAGAGGTGAGGTATCCAAAGCACATCAACTGACCACAGGGGTTCCTCAGGGTTCAGTTCTTGGACCGCTCCTCTTCTCCATTTACACCACATCACTGGGACCCATCATACAGGCACATGGTTTCTCTTACCATTGCTATGCTGATGACACCCAGCTCTACCTCTCATTTCAACCAGATGATCCCACAGTAGCTGTACGGACCTCAAGCTGTCTGGCGGACATCTCGGCATGGATGAAGGAACATCACCTGCAGCTCAACCTGGCAAAGACTGAGCTTCTCGTCCTCCCTGCCAATCAGTCTCTACAGCACGACCTCACTATCCAGCTAGATTCTTCCTCAATCACCCCATCAAGGTCGGTCAGAAATCTTGGAGTAATCTTTGATGATCAGCTGACCTTCACAGACAACATTACAAAGACAGCTCGATCATGCAGGTTTGCTATGTACAACATCAGGAAGATCAGGCCTTTCCTAACTGATCATGCAACACAACTTCTCGTCCAGGCCCTGGTTATTTCTAGGCTTGATTACTGCAATGCTCTTCTGGCTGGACTTCCATCATGTGCAACTAAACCTCTACAAATGATCCAGAATGCTGCAGCTCGTCTGGCCTTCAACGAGCCCAAACGGTCCCACGTCACTCCTCTGCTCATCTCTCTGCACTGGCTACCACTCGCTGCTCGCATCAAGTTCAAGGTGTTGACACTTGCTTACAGATTGACCACAGGATCAGCTCCCTCCTACTTCCACTCACTACTACAAGTCTACATCCCTACCAGAAGCCTACGATCAGTCAATGAGCTCGTGGTACCATCACAGAGAGCCTCAAAATCACTCTCCAGAACATTCTCATTCACGGTTCCATGCTGGGGGAACGATCTGCCCACCCTCATCCGAAATGCAGAATCCCTGACAGGATTCAAAAGACAACTGAAAACTGAGCACTTCCGTGAGCACTTTCAACATAATTATAAAAAATAATAATTTCCTTTTCCTTTAAATCCTTGCTTATCTGGCTTATGCTACTCCGAGCTATGTCTGAACTTTATATTTTGAGCACTTCTTGCGTTGTTTTTGCCTCTTCACGAAGACTCGCTTAGTTTAGTTCTCAGTTGTAAGTCGCTTTGGATAAAAGCATCTGCTAAATGACTAAATGTAAATGTAAGTCACTATCCTACCAACTGAGTTACAGGAACAACCACTGAATCAATTCTTTTGTAAGTCATATTTGTGTGTGGTACAGGAGGGCCTCCTGCTCCTACAGTGGATTCAACGTCTCCTAAGAGTCTGGAGTGTTTCTGCAGAGACTGTCCTTCTTCCTGCACGTCCTACTGCTGGTATCAAACATTTCTTAATGACTCATTTGCACGCCAAAGACTACCTGAAAATACACAGATTATTACCGTGGAGGAAGGAGGACTGTTCAGCTGCCGGATGGAGTGTGGGAAAGGATTCTCCCGTTTCAGCAACATTTACAGCTACAAAGGTACCCCCAAACACACACACACACGCTACTGAAAATTTGAAATGTTACTTTGGCATAATTGGCAACTAATTGAAACAAAATAAGTTAAATCTCAGCTACTTAATTTCAGCTATTAATTAATTTCAGGTTTTAGTTTAATGATAATAACCTGTAAGCTGAGAAACGAGTCTAATTTATTTTCGGTGGTAATCAACAGCAGAAACGGTTCTCGAAGTATCGACTACACCCAGTTTCAGGGCAAAAAACGCATGCACACAGAACTGTATGAACAGTTTCATTTTCCGTGCATTTTAAAGCTGCAGTCCGCAGTTTTTCCTCTTTGTCGCCATCTCTGTTCGAAACCTGCAATTGCAGTCATTTGCGGAATTATCAACTTTACGTGAGTTGTACTTCGACACCCTCAACATGGCACAGCGCGGATGAACACAATGTTTGAGGAGAGTGTGAGGCTGTCAGTCACCGCCGGTGTGGAAACTGGCATTCAGAATCACAGATTATTCTTTTTGGAAGTATGACCAACATAATAATTTTCACTGGAAAATGTCATCTGAACAAGTAAGAGTAACATCCACTTTTGTTCTGACCAAATAAGGGGAAAAAATCATTGCAGTAAATCGCGCTGATTAAATCTAACAATCGCTTATCATATCACGTCAAAGCGTGCAAATTATACTTTGTTCTCAAATTGTTAATGTTCAACAACGTCAGCATTGCGTGACTACATGTAATGTCCTTCTGATATTATCCTTGTTTTCGCATGGGCCGGTTGCAGTCTCTTTTTCTGTTGTCACTGGTGATTGTCGTTTGAACCTTTCTGGATCCGATCCGCCATCAAATTGATAAGTTTAGTTATATCAAATTATCAGTTAAATTAAATTGCAATTAAATTTCAATGCAAACTTGACAGAATTAATTATGTAATAATATCATTTTTGGTGATGTTTGCACTATGATCATTTTGTAACACAGATTTTCAATTACACTGCCAAAAGCAAATTTTTACAAAGATATTTAGAAAGATATGCAAGAATTACTTTCAAAACTACTTTTTTGAAAATGCAACTGGCCAGTGACTCTTGAGTCATGATTCACCCAAAACTGACTGGGTGCGGCCGTCTCATTCAATGTCAATGAAGCTGCAAATTAAAATGAAAGATGAAATTTCTTAGTGCAGAAATAATCTGATTTATCTTTTTATGTCACAGTGCTGTTGGCTCTCATAAGAGAGGACAAGGGAGAAAAACCAGCAGGTAAATACACACATTTTCATTGTGCACAAGATCAGAGGAGCTAAAAAAAAAGAGATACTATCAAATCTATAATAAAGCACAGGATTAAGAAAAAACCAATGCAGATCTGCAAACCTCATCACTTCACCCAACCAGCATACTGATGTTTCTAATGAACCTCCAACCATGTCCAAAGTAGTTCCTGACGTGGTTCCTCGCTGAAGACTGAAGAGTCTGTCTCCTACATGATCAAAAAGCATCAGATTATTTTCTAAGATCTGCAGATCCTCCTGAAGAATCCCAATGTTAGAAACCAGAAGCTCAAGTTTATTTTTAACAAGATCCTCATTACTTATGGCAGATTTCACATCGATTAGACGGTCAAAAACTACACTGAACTCGACCGAATACCTGAAGCCCTTGAATAAAAAAAACAGCAAAAAAACTGTTAATTTAATTAAAGTCAGAGAGAGGGTGAAATGGCGAAAAGCAATATTAAGATATTTTTTTAAAAAGCAACAAAAAATATTTTTTTTCTAAAAAACCTGATATGAATGAAAGGGTATATGACTTTTTAAATAAATAAATGCATAAATAAGCGCATCAATTATTTATTTATGCCTTTATAAATGCATTAATAAAAAAAATGCATTAATTCATAATTGCACCTTTTACGGTCCATTTCAAACTTTTCCAATTACTCCAATTATTATATTTGTTGAGTAGGCAGAACTAAATCACCATGGTTTACAATTATTGTCAATCAATAAATCAATCAATAATATTTTACAATAGTAAAGTAGTCAGACAACCTGGCGTTACAGAAGACGTGTCTCTTATGTGTCTGTTTTCTTCTCTCAGTGTCTCTCCTGCCGAGGTTCCCAGATGTGTTTGTAGGAGATGACATCACTCTGATCTGTAAACGAGGGGGTGGAACGATAAAATGGTTCATTAATGGAAAGCTACAATCAGATCAGAATTCTTCAATGCTTCTTACAGCAGTGACATCTAAAGACAACGGGGAGTACGTATGTGAGCGGGGCGGATTGAAGAGTGACCCGTACACACTCACTGTCGAAGGTATGAACACCATCCTAAATAACTCTAAACTTTCCCTCACGATCATCAGTTCCTCCTGCTGTTTCTCATCCTCTCTCTTTCTCTCAGAGCTGGAGCCTCACGCTCAGCTCTCTCCATCTATAGGTGGCGCTGTGATGACCAAAGGTGATGGAAGAAACCTGGTGCTGCAGGTGGACGATGATCCGAATGGCTGGAAGTGTTTTGTGTTGCGGGGAGAGAGCGGCTTCACACTAGGAACCTCTGCTGATAAGATGAAGAACAGGGCTGTTATAATTGCAGAATTGAACGAAGCAAAAAGAGCCACTTTCTGGTGCAAGAACGGTGGACAACGAAGCAATGCAGTGACGCTGAAAATGACAGGTGACTCCTTCCTCCTTTCCCTGTTTATTTCCTGTTTCCTGTTTCGTTAAAGGGAAATACAAAAATACTAATTCTGTCATTATTTACTCGCTTTCATGTAGTTCCATGATTTGTAGATTATCTGTGTCCATGCAATTAAATTCAATGGAGTCCAAAACAACACTGGATCCCACTCACTTTCCTAGAATTTTTTTTCTGACCACAAGTTGCCAGCTAGTTCCCATCAGTCTTACATGCTCTTGAACATGTTAAGCAAGTGATGTTAGAGTATATTGAAATTTCACAATAATTAAATCTGCATGTAATAGTCAAGTAATAAACCATGTTTTCTGGTTTACTAAGGATTTCTGACTCCTTGAATCAGGTCCTCCTCAAAAATTACAAACAATATCCTCTAAATCTCAATGGCTTCCATAAAGAGCCATGAGACTAAACTGGAGAGCAAATAGAAACTGATTCTCAGATGTGGAGAAAGAGACACCTCACATCTGTCACCTCTATAGTTGCAGGGCGAATCTCATCAATAGCTCAAACTGTGCTCAGACTTGCCAAAACACCAAAGTCTATAAAAGTCAGATCTCAATATAAAGTCTCTTCTCCAAGATCAGGGTTTATAGCTCTATACTCCTACTGTATGGCAACTATTTACTCATTTGCATCACAAAGACAAAGTTGATCAATATATTCAATTTCAAAAATTCCAATATACTTTTTTTCCAGTGCTGACATTTCCTGTTGAATCCCTTTTTCTTAAACAGCCAATAGCCTGTAGTTTATGTCAGTAACACCATACTTTGAATGAAGCATCAGGTTCTTGCAGCGGTAGATGATGGATGTCTGACCTGTGTGTCTGTGTGTGTCAGAGCTCAAGGTGATGTTAGACCCTCCAGCCGTTCCTGCACTGCTGGGGGAGAGTGTGGCTCTCAGGTGTGCGGTCTGGGGTGGGAAAGCGGACAGAGCTGTATTCTATAAGGATAATAAGCAAATCGCAACCACAACAGAAGACACATACATCATCACCAACGCCACACAAGATCATGCCGGACAGTACAGCTGTCACGCCACCTACAGGTACAGCCACATCAGTGCAGAAGCTGTCCAGCAGGAAGGAGATTCTGATGCGCAGGAGTTAAAAGTTATAGGTAAACATTACAATATTACAATCACTGCCTCACCTCATCCCTTCATTTATACACGACAACCACTACTAGTACTTGTAAGTATTTTTTAGACATGTTACCATGGCATTCCTTAATACTGTATATGTAAGAGTACCATGTGGTACTATACAATAATAATAATAATAATAAAAAAGAAGGATTAAATGAATAATAATAACAATAATACTGATATAAATAAATAACAATATTATTTAAGCAATATTTATATATATTTATACTTAACACTAAATAAGTTTGCAGTACAAATAAGATATGTATGAATATATCAGTTATATATATATAACATTACTAGTAATAATAATTGTAATGACAAAAGCAGTAGCCTATAGTCTGATTCATGAACAAATGACTCTTATGTGTCAATTCTTTTAGTGAATCAGTCAGGGTTGCACGTTAGAATTAGTCTAATGAATTACTCACTGAATCTGTCAGAGCGGTTACATTTATACATTTGTCAGATGCTTTTATCCTTATCAGGATACGCATTCACTGGGAATTTAAACCATGACCTGAGCTAACGTTAAGTTTGAATGAAGTTAAACACATCACTTTTAGTGAATTACAGACCTGTCTCTCTCCTACCATTCATTGCGAAAACACTTGAACGAGTTGCTTTCAACCAAGTATCATCTTTCCTGTCTCTGAACAACCAGCTGGATGTCAACCAATCTGCCTTCAAGAAAGGGCATTCAACCGAGACTGCATTGCTGTCGGTCACCGAAGCCCTGCGGATCGCAAAAGCTGCTTCCAAATCATCAGTTCTCATCCTCCTGGATCTGTCTGCTGCCTTCGACACTGTGAACCATCAGATCCTTCTGTCCACCCTCTCATCACTGGGCATCACAGGTACTCCTCTCCACTGGTTTGAGTCCTATCTCACAGGTAGGTCCTTAAGGGTTACATGGAGAGGTGAGGTATCCAAAGCACATCAACTGACCACAGGGGTTCCTCAGGGTTCAGTTCTTGGACCGCTCCTCTTCTCCATTTACACCACATCACTGGGAGCCATCATACAGGCACATGGTTTCTCTTACCATTGCTATGCTGATGACACCCAGCTCTACCTCTCATTTCAACCAGATGATCCCACAGTAGCTGTACGGACCTAAGCTGTCTGGCGGACATCTCGGCATGGATGAAGGAACATCACCTGCAGCTCAACCTGGCAAAGACTGAGCTTCTCGTCCTCCCTGCCAATCCGTTTCTACAGCACGACCTCACTATCCAGCTAGAGTCTTCCTCAATCACCCCATCAAGGTCGGTCAGAAATCTTGGAGTAATCTTTGATGATCAGCTGACCTTCA